TATATAAACTATTTTATGACAATAAACTTGAAAATTTAGATAAAACAAGTAAATTCTTTAGAAAACACAATTTACTAAAACTGACACAAGAAGAAATAGAAAATCTGAATAGTTCTCTGTCTATTAAAGGTACTTAATAATTTAAAAACATTCCACAAAAAAATTCCAGGTGAGATGACTTCATTTGTATGTAAACATTTAAGAAAAAAATGGAACACTTCCCAATTTGTGTTCCGAGGCTAGCATAAGCTTGATACCAAAACCTGATAAGATACTGAAAGAAAGGAAAATGCCAGGCCAATACGACTTATGAACATATTAATAGGTGCAAAACTCCTAAAAATAATTCGTAAATGCAATACAGTTATACATAAAAAGATAGTACATTATGGCCAACTTCGGTTTACTCCAGGAACACAATAATAGTTTAACATTTTGAAATCTACAGAGTCCTAGTCAGAATAATTAGGCCAGAGAAAGAAATAAGGAGCATCCAAATTGGAAAGAAAAGAGTCAGATTATTGTTCTTTGCAGACAACATGATCTTATATTTAGAAAAACCTAAAAACTCTTAGAATTGATAAATGAATTTAGTCAAGTTGCATGATACAAAATCAACATGCAAAAATCAGTAATGTTTCTATATGTTAACAGCAATTAATCTGAAAAAGAAATTGAGAAAGCAATCCCATTTACAATAGCAACCAAATAAATAAATAAAACCACCTAGGAATAAATTTAACCAAAGAAGTGAAAGATCTCTATAAGGACAACTAAAAGACACTAATCAAAGAAATTCAAGAAGACACACAAAAAAATGGAAAGATATCCCATGCTCATGGATTGGAAGAATTAATATTGTTAAAATGTCTATACTACCCAAAGCCATCTATAGAGTCAATGCAATTCCTGAAAAATTACCAATGCCATTATAAAATTTGTAGGGAAAGGACAGTCTTTTTAATAAATGGTGCTCAGGAAACTGGATATTCATATTCAGAAGAGTGAAATGAGATCCCCATCTTTTACCACATACAAAAATCAACACAAAATTAAAGACTTAAATCTAAGACCTGAAACTATGAAACTACTAGAAGAAAACATTGGGGAAATGCTATAGGACATTGGTTTGGGCAAAGGTTTTTTGGATAAGACCCCAAAAGAATAGGCAACAAAAGCAAAAATAGACAAATGGGACTACATCAAGCTAAAAAGCTTCTTTACAGCAAAGGAAACAATTAACAAAGTGAAGAGACAACCTACATAATGGTAGAAAATATTTGCAAACTATTCATCTGACAAGGGATTAATAACCAGAATATAGAAGGAATTCAAACAACTCGACAGCAAAAAAATAAAATTATTAGATCATTAAATATGAAATGTCCAATTTGAAATCAAAAGTATAGTTTATTATATCTCAAACAAGGAGCAGTACCATTAATCAAAGTATGCACCTAAACTATCAACACAACTTTGCCATCTTAACAGTAGCTTGTTTATGCCAGCAGCAAAGAAGCCTGGAGAGCCAGTGGTGATAAAATTGCAAAAGGTGTTTTCTACAGCTTGTTGAGAATTGAATATTTTTCCTTGTAAGAAGTGGTCCAAAGCCTGGAAGAAGTGGTAGTTAGTGCAAGGTCTGGTGAATACAGTGGATGACAGTGAGTTTCCAAGTCCAACTTCTGTAGTTCGAGCAGCGTTGTTTGTGCCACGTGTGGTCGAGCGTTGTCCTGCAAGAGGATTGGCCTGTCTCTATTGACCAGTCTCGGCTGCTTAATCACGGTCATCCTCATCATTTCATCCAATTGGTTGCAGTAGACATCGCTGTAATCAACTGACCAAGTGTCATGAAGCTGTAGTGGATAATACCAGCACTGGACCACCAAACAGACACCCTTAGCTTTTATTTATGAAACATAGTTTTGGATTATGTTTCGGCACTTCATCTTTATCCAACCATTGTGCCAAACACTTGTGATTGTCAAAAAGAATCCATTTTTCATCACGCGTACAATACCTTGTAGAAATGGTTCACCTTTATGTCATGACGGCAGAGAAAGGTAAGCTTGGAGACAATTTCTCTTCTGACGCTCATTTAATTCATATGGTACCCACCCATCCAGCTTCTTTACCTTGCCGATGTGTTTCAAATGGTCCAATATTGTTGGAATAGTAATGTTAAACCTTGCTGCTAATTCACACGTAATTTGAGATGGATTCGCTTCCACTACAGCTTTCAGCTCATCATTACTCACCTTGGTCTCAGGTCACCCACATGTCTCATTTTCAAGATTAAAATCACCATGACAGAACTTCTCAAACCTTCGACATACTTTCTGTTCATTAGCCACGTCCTTCCCAAATACGTCAATTACTTATTGCACAGTTACTATTGCACTGTTTGCAATAGCCAACGATTTGAAATAACTTAAACTTTGTATTATAAGAGACTAGCTACATAAATTATGTTACATAATAATTTACAGAATGGAATACTATACAGCTATAAAATAAAGGAGAAAGTTCTTTATGTACTAATATAGAATGACCTCCAAAACAAAAAGTACAAAAAAAGGTGTGTACTGTATGCTACCATGCTATCATTTGTACATTTAAAAAAAGAATATTATATGTAAATTTGCTCTGATATGTATAAATTCTGTCTGCAAAAATTCCTAAGACACTGACAATAATATCCATCCTCAGGGACAGGACATGATAGCTCAGGGATGAGGAAGGTAGAGAGGATTTTTCATTTTGTGCCTTTTGTATCCTTTGACTTTGAACCACATAAATGTATTAGCTATCAAAAAATGCACAACACATTAAATTTTACAATGTGTGATATAAGGGTGTAGTTACACTCCATCCTGTCCATGCTTACCCTGAACTTGGCTGAAAACAAAGTCTCTTGTTATCTATTTAGTTGCTTGATTACAATATCTAAGAAGATAAGTAATTTTTTACTTGAAAACTAATGCTCCAGAATAAAAGTTAAATAAGAAAATAAAAAGGTAAAAAAATAAAGAAAAACGAAGTTGTTCAACAACAGTGACAGAATCATGGTTTGTTTAAAGCAATCAAACAAATATCAACAACAAAAAAGAACTCATGCAAATGTTTAGCTAAACTGTCTCTAAGGGAATATACTAAAACTTTGGCAAGGAGGAGAGTGGATGAGATAATACATTTAACTTTTTATTAGATACTTCCACATTGTTGGATTCTTCTGATTTTTTGACATATTAATTCATTTTAGAATTAAAAAAATTTATCAGATTTAAATATAAAAAAGCCTATGTTTACATCAGTAACCAAACATACATAAAAGTGTTCAGGTAAGTAATTCAAAGGAAAGAAAAAGTTATATGCATAAAAACGTTTATTAAACACCATATATAAAATATAAAAATATTCATATATAATTTATGTATATATGTATGCCTATACGTTAAATAAGAAAATAATTCATTAAATGATAACATATCCACTAGATAGAATATCTATTAAATCACATTTATGTAGACTATGTGATAATTGGTGTAATGCCTATGATATAATAGTGATAAAAAAAGATACGAACTTTCACGTACAACTAAATGGAAAACATTCACATGGAAAATGAATGGGAAAGTGGTGGAATTAAGGCTGATTCTTTGTCTCTTTTCAACACTCTTTATAACATAATTTCAAAACTAATTTTTCAGATTATTTTCAAAATTTTCACCTTTGAGTTTTCTTACTTTTGTCAGAATTTAATTTGAGAAGCAAAAAAACAAAGTAAAAGACGCCTGCTTGTTAACCCAATGAAGATGACTAAGGCCCAGCATGAACCATAGTAGATGTTTGTCAGGAAAGAGACACTTACTTGCATCTCCCGCTGGAGGAGGAGGGTGGGCAGCCTGTCGCAGGGAGGTGCTTCTGAAAGGCTGCACCGGCTTCTCTAGGTGCTGGGCGCCGTCCATGGGCTGCACCTTCCCCTTGGGGCTACCAAAGAGGTCCCCGATGTCCTTTCTGTGTCTGCATTCTTGGAGGAAACTCTCAAAAGATTTGTCTTTGAGTCTGAGGGAGGAAAACAGCGAGATTCTTTTCTTTGGAACCCTAGAAGCATCTGGGAAGGTCTCTTGCAAACTCACTTTCTCGAGAAGCGTGGGGACATCTTCAATCTTGCTGTAGGGTGGGGACGTGAGGGCAGGAAAGGTCTTGGATGGCCGATTGGGCAAACTGTGGGTGCGGAGGGCAGGGTCAGGAGGGCTGAGGTCTGAGGACTGGGTTCCCAGGGAGAAGAAGGCTGGGGCCCTGCCTGCCACGGTTCTCCCCGGGGAATGCTGGTCCCGGTCTTTGTTGCAACTGGTTTTCCTAAGGCTGAGGAAGCGAGTGGGTAAAGTTTTGGATTCTGGCTTGGCCCAGGCCTTCTTCCCACCTTCGGAGTTGGGGAGGAGGGGCTCCAGGGACCTTCGGATGGCATTGGCTATGAGTCGCAGGGGGGACCGCGGTGGGGGCACGCTGCGCTCCCCTGGGGCTCGTTCTGCCGGGGCCCCCATCTCCTCCCGAGCCTCTCTCTGGGCTGGCAGGGTCTCTCTCGCCGCCTGAGGGAGCAGCAAGGGGCGGACTGGTTTCAGCATTCGGCCTCCTCTTACATTCTCAGCACTTTGCTGGGAAGGCCGCTCCCCAGCCTCCAGGCGCACCCTCTCTGGGATGGAGTCGTTCCAATCCAGCAACATGGTCTTCTGCTCCTGAGTGAGGACTAACTTCTTTAAGCCGGACTTCTTCTCCTCCGCCAGCTCTGGCCCAGCCTCCTCTCGCCTCCTGGGTCCAATACTCCATCCTCCTGGGTCTTCTCCACCCCTGGGAGACAGCTCTTGGTCTGGCATGCACCTGTCCTTATCCCCAATGGGGTGTGGGTCTCTGTGGATGCTTCTGGTGTCCCGGAAAGGGGCCTCTGCCTCCTGGCACCCATCAGAAGTCCTCTCTGCAGGGCTTGCGTCTCTGCCAGGGCTCACCAGGCAGTATTCTGCCCACTCCAGCTCTGGGCGATGGGGTATATAGAGGGGAATGTCTCTGGGTGCCCCTTGGGCTCTGGCTCGCCTCAGAAAGATTGGGGTGGGAGGACTGTGATGACCTCTTGAGGCCTGTGAGGAGGGGTCGTAAGCTGTCACCTAGATGGGATGGGCAAAAATGGCAGTTATTTACAAATTCTCACCATTTCTTTATATGAGGAAGATGAATCTCAATCCATAACCCTCTCCTTTCTTTTCTCCAGATCTCAGATAGCCAAATTCAAAAAGAGTTTTGCCTAAGATGATTTCAAAGGGCTGCTCTTTATTCTAAATGGCTGCCTTGGGACCTGCCAGGCTCTGCCTGGAAGCCCTGACTCAGCACCGATCACAGGCTTTTCTGGGTCCCACACTGGGTGGGCAGGAAGCCAGAGGGGAGGCAAAAGCATGGCCCCTGCAGTTGACAAGCTCCTGGGCCATGAGGGCAGGGCTGGCCTGGCCTCTGTGGGTGGCCAGGCACGTAGGGGAGGACAAGCTCCTCCTTGGCTTACTCAGCCATGCTCCCTACTAAGGAACATGTGCCACCCACAGGGATGTTCCTCCAATAACCAAGCCATCAAGGTAAGGAGAAAAAAGTCACCCTCTCTAGAGTTGTGGTAGCCCAACGATGGCCTTTAGGACCTGCCAGTGACCCTTTTGAATCTCACACCTTGCACCATTGAGAAAGGAGCTATTTCTAGCATGCAGGAACTTGGACTCTCCAAGGACTGGCTGTTCCCTGCCAAGAGCTCTGGTGCCCAGGGGCAGGTCATGGGTCAGGGGCTTCATAAGAGCACACATCTTCTCTGTCTTGTGCCCTCTGCTTCCCAGAGAGAAGAGCCTGGCAGGTAATAGAGGTTTGATGAACACACACGGGAGGACAGAGTCCAGCCCTGGACATCGATGACATTTTCCATTCAAGGGAGATGTTGCTTCCAAGGTTCTCGGATGCTACCAAAGGCACCCTCACTTCTGTGCCTGCCGTCCTCTGGCTGTGAGCTCCTCAACACCCTCTGAGAGTTCCTTAAGGAAAGAGCATATGTCCTAGCACCTCTGCCTCCCATGGTGCAGCCCAACGCCTGCACAGTCTGTCCCTGTAAAGTGTGCTGAGGAAGTGACAGGGTGGCCGAGACAGAGCAGCATGAGCTTTCGCGAAAGGCACATGCGGGGAAGGCTGGGCTGGACCCCTGACGGGCATTTCTCTGGCCCTGGCTTTGCATTTGGGTTGACCTAAGAGCACTTAGAATCCAGAGTTAAGAGTCAAAAGTTGGAGGCAGCTCAGCTTTGAACACCCTCGGGGTACTCACCTGAGGTGGAGAGGAACCATCCAGAGCATTCCTAGGAATACTGGCTGAAGAGGAAGAAGATGTCGGAAAAGACGAAGGAGAGGACAATGAAGAAAAAGGAAGAGATGGAGAAGGTTCCTTTGGAGGTGACACAGTTCTTTTGTTCATTGATGTTAAACCTACCAAGGAAAGAACACACCCTCCGTTACAGAGCTGTTACTACCTTATCAAGAAAGGAGGAGGTTGTATTAGTAGGTGAAGCTCCCATTCTATAAGCAGAGCCAGAGAGAGGGAGATGTCAGAGGCTGGTTCAGAGATCCCCGGTGCCCACGGCTTGGGACGTGGAGGAGTGGGTACAGGAGTGGCAGGGCCCTGTGGGGGAAAGGAGGGCCCAGGATGAAGAGCCTAAGAACCATTGTGTTTCAGACTCACGTGAGAATGTTCCTGAGATGTAACAGGGAGCCTCCAGAGTGTTTTTTAGAAACTAGCATCTGTCTCTAAAGATCCCCTAAAGCCACTGTGGTTGGGAGCTGGGGCCGTGTTAGATCACTTAGTCAGTAAACTACACTGGCTATTCATGATGCCGACCCTTCGCTATGGGCACGGACAGGGTAGACATTCTCGACTAATGAAATGGGCTCCTCCTGCTCACGTGTGCACCAGGGGGCTCTCACACGACAGGTAGTTTGAGATTTTCGGAGATCACATGGGAGGGAGGTTACGGTGAGTGTGGGGGCATGTGAAGCACATGGAGTGGGGGCCACGCCAAGCTCCCATAGGTCAGGGAACAAACAGGACACAGCATGGCTGCTCCGAGACGCAGGAGGAAGAGTGGAGCAGAGGCCCGGGGACGGGCCTGCTCTGAGCTGTGGGGAGCTGAGATCCCCCAGGCAGAGCAGAATCCCGACAGTTGTGGCCTATAAGGTCAGCCAAGCTCACGTGCACGTGCGCTTTCTCCCTCTCCCTCTCCCTCTCTCCCCCCTCCCCTCGAGTATGGTAACCTTAAATCGAAAAGCCCAAGCATTTTTCTCCATATTGGACCATTTCAGATCATTCATCCTCAAAGAGATTCAGAAAAATGCCATGTACCCTTTCCGATTCGCCCACTCAGTGTCTGCCCTCAGCCCAACCAGCTGTCCTAGGAACCACAGTGGCACAGAGCGGATGTCCCTCAGAAACATTGCAGGACCACTGCGCCTATCCAGTCTTCTCTCTTGTCTGACCTCTGACTCCTGCTTCCGGCTGCTCAGCTGACCCCTTCCCCCCAAGGTGCCCAGCCTTCAGATTGTAGCTTCTCAGCCCAACACAGTCCCCTGGTCTCATTTTCTGGGTGAGAGGCTGCTCCTGGGGGACGCACAGAGACTGGGTAAACTGAGCCCCACCCACACAGGGAGACCACACGGGTGGGCTCTCAGAACGCTGCCCTGCTTCGCTCATACACAAATGCACGTGTGTCCGACCAGGTGTCCCAGCCTGGGGTTCTGAGCAGATGGTGCCACACCCGGTCAGCGAGCTCCCAGGGCAGCCACCCAGCGTGCTTTGGAGGGAAAGGTAACTCGGGAACAGATGTGATCGCAGGCGGCAGGAAGGAGCTGCCGGGGAGGCGGCTGGCCTGCCTCCTGCTGCCCGCGCCCTGCCGCAGCCCACAAGGAGAAGGTTCGAGCCTAAAAAGGCAAAAGTTGTGAGTCAGTTGTTGCCTTGCTTCCTGTCCTCAGCTTGCCAAATTCCTGCCAAATTCCTTCTTCCCCTCTTCCTTGCCCCCTCATTCTCTTCTCCCTGCCTTCTCCTGAATCAAACTCCTTCACAAGTCTCAAGGCCCCTCAGCTCAGCAGACTGCATTTTTGCTCCCCCGAGCAGAGCTCAGGGACCTTCTGGCACAAAGCCAGGGCCACCTTGGGAACCAAGCCTGACAGAAAAGTCCAGGGCTTCTAAGGTTATGACCCAGCAGCTGCTCCCTCCTCCTTTCTCTAATCCCCACCCCAGCTCGGGGGTCTCTCTCTCCATACGTGGTCCTCACGCGCTGTCTTCACTCAAGCAGGGCTCAAGGAGACAGGGGAAGCCAAGCCCTTGGTCCTGGCTGCCACTCAAGCCACCACCTGGGAGGTGGGCCAGCCTGGGGGGAGGGCAGGGGAGCCAGGGCCCAGCTGGGAGCTAGTAGGGAGGCCAGCGCCTGTGGGTCCTCTCACAAGATGGCGAAAGGCAGCCTGGAACCCCACACCCCCCACACTCACACCAGCTGCCTGCCCCTGAGCCAGCTATTTACCCTAGGTTTTCTCATCCCAAAATGGGGAGTGCGGTGCAGCTTTCTGGGGTGGTCGCAGGAATGCAATGGGATAAAAAGAGCTGCTGGGTAGTGCAGGACACAAAGGAAATGCTACCTGTTCGCTAAATAGGAGTTCCACCCCTTTCCATTCTCTCGAGCACACAAGTGGTGTCCAATAAAGACACTGCTGAACCCCTCACCCATTCCAGAGGGGGCTACACACCCAGCCAAGGTTTCTCTAACTGTTGGCCCAGGAATTTCTCATTTGCTAAGTCAGATCCTCCTCCGCCATCCCTTTCCTTGAAACCGGGGTACAGCCCACACAGGGCTGCCCTGCCTTCTTCCAGGTCCTGGACGCTGCTGGCCCTTAGGGTCCCTTTGTGCATGGAGGGGGGTGTTGACGAGCAGACCAGGGCCTGAGAAACAGCCTCCTGGCCCTTCCTGGGGGCCCTCTGGCAATGGCGACCTTTTTCCTAGGTCCCAGAGGTCATGGTTAGCTGGGGGAGGGTGCCAAGGGCAGTCTCACAGCCCTGTCTGCCCTCTCTCTGGGGCTTGGGGCCAGCACCAGCTGTGACCACCACCACTGCCTCCAGACAGGGGGCATGGTGCCCTGTGTTCTGCTCCCTGGACAAGACCAGCCCTGCCCTTTGAGGTTTCCTTTTGGGCAAAATGAAGATAACCAAAAAGATGGCTCTGGTGGATTTTCACAAGGATTGGGATTCCAGGGTGCAGCTTCACAGAATTTGGAGGATATGGAAGGCACAAATCCCTCTCTAAGTCTTGGAGCGCCCTCTAGGGGCAGCAGCCTGCTCAGGCCTGAACCCATGTGCTCCATTTGCTCCGGGTCCAGCCAGCTTGTTTCTTGGTTCATTCATTCATTCATTCAGCAAACAAGGACTGAGTTTCTCCTCTGAGCCAGACCAGGCTAGACATTAGGGCTATAGAAATGGTTCAAACTCAAGCCCTCAAGCCAGCTCTCATACATACTTGAGAATCAGCGCCTGATACTCCTGATAACTCAAGGCTGAGATCCCCAGCCCACCTCAGAAACACAGAGCTGCTCAGCTGTCCACTCTCCTGCGCCTCCTCCAGCAACCAGACCCTGCTAGAGCTGTGGTGGGGGGTGTCTCCCGCCAGCCTCTCTGCTCTCACCCCAAGCCGAGTGCTGGGAGTTCCTGAGGGCAAGACTGAACGCCCCACTGGTGGCACTCGGAAAAGTGGGCTGGAAGTGTTGGGACAGACTCTGCACCACACAGCCCTGTGGCGGGCGGGCAGCAGGACCCCAGGACCTGGGGAGGACGGGAGTAGGGCAGTGAGCAAGACAATGGACATATGGAAATGTCAACTCGGTCTGTCCTCTGCTCTTATGACTGGGGGCTATCAGATGATTCAAGAGTTATTTTAGGGTGTTGCAGGTGAAGCAGCCTGCCCAGGAATGCAGCTCTGGTTCCCGCTCCCGGGGCGCCCCGTCCCAGCCGGACCCAGCGAGAGGGCGGTGAGTCTGGGGGTTGCCAGGGAATGACTCACTGGCCGGCAGTTAGCCTTGACTCAGAAGGAAGGAAAACCAGGACTCTGTTCCAACTGCTGCAACGTTTCCTGGTAGAAACCCTTGTCTAACTCAAGGCCTTCCTGCTCCACCTCTCCCGGGGCGAGGCTGGAGAGGGAGTGGGCGTGCGGGGGAGAGGAGGTGCCGATGGACTTGGAATCAGATGAAGAATCGCTGCCCCTTACTCAGGGCCTGGGCGGGGAATTCCTGCTCTGTAACTGCTGCAGCGCCTGGAACGGGGGCCAGCCCAGGGTGCTGTGGGACCGTGTGTGGTCACGGTGCCCCTAGAGGGGGCCTGCTGCCCTGGCACTCACCGCGACCCTGGTCCTCACCCAACCCTGATCTTCCCAGGGATGCTTGGGCCAAGGCCTGCTCAGAACAAGGAGCAGGACTGTGTGTGTGAGTGTATTTGTGTGTGTGTGTCTCTGTGTGTGTGTCCGTGTGTGCACGTGCTTGTGTGTGCATGCGTGTGCATGTACATAGCTTCCTGTTTTGCATGAGACCATTAAGCTGACACCTCAGCCCAACTCCAGTGTACAGAATCAAATGGTCCAGAGTCCCTGGACCTCAGCGTGCCCATGTGTGTTTCAAAAATCTTGGAGCTGATGGCTGCTTAGACTCTGCCTGGCAAGACTGCAGAATCCTAAGGCTCCATGATTCCAGAGTGGGGGGTAGAGGGGGATGGGAAGGTCCCCATTCCCTTGGGAAATGCTTCTTCTAGTCAGCAGTGGAAAAGTCAGGCTTGTATTTCATTTCTGGCCCCTCCCATCCAGGAGGCCGTGTCAGAGAAGACGCCACATAAGGAATGAGAACAGCTGCCCCTGAGAATTAACCAGAGAACTCCCGCCTGCCCCCAGCACACCCCCACCCTACCCCGAGAGCTCGTGACTCACTGGACTGGAATTCTCTTCTCCAGTTCTGGTATTTGCTCTGGGTTGCAGACTGGAAGCTATTGGCTCGTTGCAGAGCAGCTGTGGAAAAAGCAAGGGGCAGGGAAGGTGGGGAGGGAGGAAGAGTCTCTTCAGTGTGTCGAATAAACAGGGATTTTTCTCCTGTGGCCCATTTACCAAAAATTAGCAGACCAATGAACCCATTCCTTCCCCCAGACAGCATTTCCCTGTCTCCACAACACACAACACCAAACTTCCCATTCATTCACTCACCAAATATTTATTTAGACCCTGCTATGGGATAGTTGCTGCCCTTAATCAGAAAATGCCTCAAATTCTGAGCCATCATTCTAAGTCACCGATCGTTAGTATTTACATGCACGCTGTAGACATGTGCATACGTACATACAGGCATACATTCATTCACTTACATCAGAACAGTTCTTTACAGCTGAGGCCTTGTATCAATGTTCCGTGTACGGAACAGGTGAAAACTGGGGCTGCTCTGATTGAAGTCAGGAAGCTGCAGAAAGTTCTACCCGCCCCTGTCCCCACGGAGCCCTGGAAGCCCTTTGGAAACCAGTTTTAACTGAAGCTCTGGACAATCCATTGTCTCGACCCCTCCTCTTGGCCTAGTTCCCATGGAAACACATCCACAGGTCACCATGCACTTCGTACTGAAGACCCTGTGACCGGCAGGCCTGGAGGATTAGCTGAGCACACCGAACATCACGTGCATTGGCCATTTAGGGCGTGAGGGTGGGATCCAAGTGTGCCCGTTCCCAGGCAGGGTCCTCGGGTCTGTTCTCAGGCTCCAGGCCTCTGTGCCCCCAGCACATGCAGAGAGACAGAATGGGGATGGGGCACCTTGAGTGATCACACAGCTGGGGCCAGGAGGTGAGGAAGGAAAGAAAGCTCACGGGAGTGATTTGGGTGTGGGAGAATGGGGGTAGGGCAGGTCTGAACACAAGACTCTCTGACCCCAAGGCCCAGCTGGCCCAGCCCCCTCTCCCCCTGGAAACAGTCCTAGACATCCTGCTCCCTGCCAGGCCTCAGAGCCGGGCCTCAGCTCTTTCCTAGCGGCTGGGCTGCGTAGCGCAGCTGTCAACCAGAACCTGGGGGCTTCCTTTCCTCGAGTCAGGATCCTCCGCTCCTTAGACTCTTGGCCCCTCTTCCTCCCTTACTCCACTCAGAGACGTGTCGTGCCTGCTCTGCCCGGCAGGTCCCCAGTGCCCCAGCTCTGCTCTCAAGATCACGTCCGTGGGCTATAGAGGAGCCTGTGTGGGAGGGCACATAGTCCCCCATCTCCCCGCTGCAGAGTGGGTCCGCTTCCTCCCTGCCCAGTGCAGGCTGGGTTTTCCGGGCTGGATGTTCTGCGTAAGGAGCAAGCAGGCTTTAAGTGCAGCTACATCCTGCTGACCGAAGTTAACCGTTTGACCTTGTGGAATGGAACCTACGCGAAATGGCTAAAATCCACGAGAGAGTTTCCATCACTGGTGTTTAGAGGGCACACATGCGTACATTGGCACCGCGATGGGAACGGAACAATGGGCTGGGCAGTAATGATTTCTCTCTTTCTCTTTTTTTTAAGATCCCAATTGTGATTCTGGGTAGTGATTTCATCTAGCAATTCTGAACAGCAAAAGCAGGACTGGTTCCTTTCTTTTTAGCTTATATTTTATGTGTACTTAATTTATATTTATTTTAAAGGAGCACTTGCAGGGATCGTAGTACATGACCTGCTATAAAAACAGGCAGAGGGTAAGTATTCTGCCATGTGGTGCTGGCGATACCATTTTATTGTTACAAACTAGTGGTGCCCTCCATATGCCATTGGACCATCCTGTTATCAAATTATTGCCAAAAAATTATGGATAAATACTAATTCTTCTCAGCCAGAATAATTTGAGGGCAGATTGTCCTCCTAAATCTAACTGGTTTATAGCCAAGAATCCAATGCACTAGATTAATTCATGTTGTTGTTTGGGCATGCTTTGTACACGCAATGCATCCAGGCAGGCCCTCCACAGAGCTGTGCTTCTGAGCCTCCCAAAGGGTAGGATACAGTCCACTGCGTCGAAGCACCCAGGGTGCTCAGACAAAATGCAGATACTTGGCCTCACATCAGATCCAGTGAATCTGAATCTCTGAAGGTGGGAACCTGGGAACCTGACTTTTAAACAAGACTTCCAAGAATCACTGAACCGGATGTTTTGGGGGAGTGTTTTCCACGGCCTCAATAATGCAGGGAGTAAGCGATGTTTCAGACCATCACCTTGGGCGTGTTCTACGAACTTTGAGGATATGGTAGGTCTCTTAATGTGTTGAGGCACTTCTTTTACAGTGTGGGAAAATGTACGTAACATAAAAATTACCATCTGAAACATTTTTAAGTACAGAGTTCAGTGGCATTAAGTACATTCACACTGCTGTGCAACCATCGCTGCCATCCAGCTCAAACTGAAACTCTGCAATCATTAAACAATATCCCCCCTCCCCTCAGCCCCCAGTCCCTGGTAACCACAATCTACTTTCTGTCTTTATGAATTTGACTACTCCAGGGGCCTCATATAAGCGGCATCATATAGTATTTATCTTTTTATGATTGGCTTATTTCCCTTAGCATAATGTCCTCAGGGTTTATCTATGTTGTAGCGTGTGTCAGAAGTTCCTTCCTTTATAAGGCTGAATAACATTTCACGGTATGGATATACCACGTTCTACGTTTTGTTTATCCATTTGTCTTTTGATGGACATTTGGTTTGTCCATGACATTTTGACACATGTGACTAATGCTTCTATGAGCATGACTGTACAAACCAAGAGACTTTCTAAAACAATATCCTGGTCTTGTCCAGCCTTCCCTGAGCTCGCCTTGGAGGCATTTGTCCAGGTGAGAAGTGTGGCTGATGAAGGTCTTTAACACCCACACACCCTGCATTATTTGGTATAGCGATGGGCCACCATAACCAGCAACACAAAGCACGGTACTTAGACCTATGTCAGAGATTTTAACCTCACAATGTGGTCTGCCTATCAGTGATCAAAGCAATGACTGATGAAGACTAACTCAATAAAAATTGTTTGAAAAGTCATACAGTCTATTCATGTCTCTAACTACTCTGTATTTTATCCTAGAGTTAAACTGGACTGGCCACACTGCCTTACCCTCTTGACCCAACCCCATTCTGCCGGGAGAACTTCTTTCACTGAGTTATGCGTGATTGGCATGCCCTTACCTGCCAGCAAGGGGTAATACAAGAAACAGCCTTGAGAAAACCATGGCTGCATTTTCTGAGCAGCTGTTGTTTAAGACATGATCTAATACATCTCTCAGTATCATCTGTTTGACATGAGCTGCAAACTTTCTACAGAGTGAAGCATTAGGAAGAGTGGTGCCCGCTCTGAGATCTTGCTGTAAACCAACATATTTTTTCCTCATGAACAATGAGAATAATAATTGTCTGTGTTTCCTTTTTTAACATTAGCTGCCAGAAAACTCAGAATCGAGCTTATGATTCAAGGAGAGCAACTGTTTAGGACTATGGTCTGCCTCTCTGGGGTCTATACCTCCTAAAGTGGTTTTGTTAATCCTGATTATGATGCTTGATTTTTCATATATATAGATACAAAATTTTGTTTTGTCTTTCTTGTAAGTTGCCTGAAATCCCCTGGCAACTGGGGGGAAAGGAGAAGTGGAGGAAAGGGATGAAAAGCAGGAAGGCTTCATATCTGCAAATCAGGGGGTTGCAGCCCAGGGAGACGGACGGCTGTACAAGGCCAAGCAGTAATCAGAGGCAGGACTAGCCCCAGCTAGGCACGGGCCAGTACTTAGCTCATCGCCAGTGCTAAGCCTTTATGGACAGCCCACAATGGTACTTAACAATTGTGTTTTGATGACAATTTGTCCTTTTTAAAAAAGGCTCACTTGGGAGGATAAATTCAGAGTTTCTAGGATTTAAAAATATCTGTATGAATTCTTTCCAGCCCCCAGCGCCGGTCCAGAGTGCAATTCTGCTCTTCACCACCAGAGAGAGGTGCAGGACAAGTTGAGTACCAGCCCTCCCCGCCGGCTAAGGCTGTTGTCCTGACCGTGGCAAGCCTCAGCCTGTTCCTTGGCAGGCTCTCCCAGAAGTTGCGCAGAAGTCAGACGATTTGGTCCCAAGTTGCTAAAGACAGCTATTTTTAGGAAGGAGAGCTAAGGGGGTGGAGTCGCCCGGCACTGACCACACCATTCTTTGGCCACGAGGCCCTGGGAAAGCAGTCAGTCCGTCTGCTCACCTGCAGAATAGGCCTCCTACTTACCTCCCAGGTCATCCTGGGGATGAACCAGGCCATATATGGGAAAAGTCCTGGCCCGTTACGGGTACTCAGTGAAGGTGCATTGATGACTGTGTGAGTAAAGTTTGAGTGTCTCCCGTGAACCCCCAGCTCCAGAAATGGCCCCCATGCCGCCCTGAGGCACGTGCCCAGGTGGTCCCAGGGAGGCATGTTGTGCAGCAGCAGCCGGGCCCACCGGCCTTCCCTGGGGGGCTGTGGAACACTGGAGGGCCCCTAAGGAGATACACACGGGAGGCAGGAGAGAGACTGCTCCAGCCAGGAGAGTCCTGGGGCCCTTATCTTTGCCATCCTGTCACACAGGACAGCGGCCAGGCCCTGTGAGATCTTCCCACGTGGGATCCCCAAGCTTCTCATGGAGAAGAGTGCCAGGCCGGGTCCCAATCTCCTCACCCTCACCTGCGCCCAATCCCCAAAGCTACTCGCCCCACTGCCTCCGAGCCCGAGGACGAGTCCCACTGTCACCTGGGCCTCCGCTCCCTCCCCATGTCCCAGAATCAAGCATCTGGGCTCTGTGCTCACCACGCACACCTGTGGGCCCCTCAGGGCACTGTGGAGAGGCCGCCCTGGTCTGGACCTCCCTCAGGGAGACGTGCCGGGCGAGAGGCTGTGGCAGAGGCTGGGATTCTGGCCGCTGGGGCCTCTCTTCACAGGGCTCCGAATTGGAGGCCTCGCTGCCGCCATAGTCAGACTCTGCGTCGGAGCTGGAGGAGGAAGGAGGGAGCGGGTGGTCAGGAGCCCCGGGACCCACCCCAACGCACACCCACACTGCGCCCACCCACGCCGCCCCCCATGGACCTCAGGGGCCTGGGCAAGCCCAGTGGGTCAGTCCTCTGTGCCCAGAGCCCGGCCTCAGACTTTGTTCTGGGCAGTACTGTGCCCCCCAAATTCCTGTGTTGACATCCTAACCCCAGGACCTCAGAATGGGACTGTAGTCAGAGACAGGGTCTTTACAGAGGTCATTAGGGTGAGCCCTAATCTATATGACTGGTGTTTCTTATAAGAAGAGGACATTTAGACACAGACACGCACAGGAGAACACCATGTAGACAGGAAAACGTCACCTACGAGCCAATGAGCGAGGCTTGGGACAGATCCTTCCCTCAAATCCTCAGTAGGAACCAACCCTGCCTACACCTTGATCTCGGCCTTCCGGCCTCCATAACTGTGAGATGATAAATTTCTGTCGGTGAAGCCACCCAGTCTGCGGTCCTTCGCTGCAGCAGCCTGAGCAGAATAGCGTGGGCTCGGATCAGAGCGGAGGAAGGAGCCCAGCAGCTGTAGGGTGGCCCATCCTCACACAGGTGGGTCTCCCCACCTCACCCAGCACCCGGCATGACGCCTGAGGTCTCTGGGGTCAGAAAGCTCGATATTAGAGGCTGGTCCTAGAGCTTCCGGCATTTGCATACTGCTCTCCTGCCCCCGGAATGCACGATGGACAGAAAAGAGCCTGGAGTGGGGAGGGGGTTTATTTAACGTGGGCCTTACATAACTGGCAGAAACTCAGAGACGTGGAGGCAGGGGGTCCCGGGCAGTGGGGACAGCCCAGCCACAGTCCCACGATGGGAAAGCACGAAACCTGCTGGGCAGTGACAGTTTAGTGAAAATAGACACATTCACTCTCTGTCTGCTTATGTAAATCCAGCACGGCTCTTGCCACGGGGCAAGACCTTTCTCTACCTGTGCCTGTTGGTGGACTCCCCGTCATCAGAGTGCCAAGCCTGGCTGGTCCTGGTGCCCAGGGCTGTCCACCGATTAGCTGCCAAGGTGGGTCTACGACATGGGCAGTAGCAGTTGGGGGCCTGCCTGGAGATCTTGACCTACGCACGTGAATTGGTGGACATGCGCTGAGACCGTCGGCAGCCAAGAGTCCCACCGTGGAGACCGCTTCTCTGTGGGCTGCTGCCGGGCTGGCATGCAGAGGGGACGCCAGGGAACGTGGCTGTTTCAATCTCTGGCCCCAGCCCTGCCTGAAGTGGGGACCGGCCTTGACTCTGCAGTCAGACGAGCCAACGTATTTGTTTGCCTTTGTTACTGAAGCTAGTTCGAGCTGGGTTTCTGCCTCTTACAACGGAAACGGCCTTGCCTGGTTGAGGCCGAGAAGACAGCGAAGGCCTGTGGGCCCTGGTCTCCAGCTCATGACTGCTCGGTCACTCCACGGCAGCGGCTCTCTGGCAGAGTCACCTGTGGGACTTGCTAAAATGTACGTTCCCGCTCCGGAGTCTGCACAGTCGAGACTTGGTGAGCCAGGTGTCCACACCCGCCGTCTCCACTTCCCCTCGCACTCTCCCCACACCTCCCCGGTCAGGCTCTGCCCCTTCCCTCCGTGCTTGTCCAAGTTTACAACAGTCCTCCTGCCGGGAAGGCCGAAGGTCACTCTCCAGTCGCACCTGACTGGACCCTGGGGCAGCCTCTGACACCCTGAACCTCCCCTCCTTCCTGAGACACTTGTCCTCTGGCTCCCCCACCCTCTCCTGGGCTCTCTGCTCCCGGTGGGTTTTGCCAGCTCCTTCTCTGCCCACTGAAAGCTCCGGTGCCAGGACCTCTCTTCTGAGCCCAGCCCTTCTTTTTCTGCAGGAGGTGTTCCTACTCCGTAAGCACCAGGGCGAGCCCTTGGCTCTGAGAGCCCGTCCAGTCCCCACCCCGGGCGCCTCCCAGACCCCTCGCCCACACGGCAACCGCTTCCTCCAGGTCCACACGGACACGGGCGTCTCAAACCCAATAGGTCCCAAGCCAAGCTCCACTTCTCCACAAACCTGCACCTTCCCTGAAATCTCCCCACCTCAAGGCAACAGCCATTTGGTCACTCACGTCAGACTGGGAGTGACTCTGGAATTTTCTCTTTCCCTCTCGTTTGGTCCCTCAGCAAACCCATCTCCACCTGCTCCCGCCACCCCCTGCCCCGTCACTCTCCGCAGTGAGGCCTGCCTAGCTCTGAAAATCACCAGTGAGGTTCACTATTCCACCTAAAAATTCTCTTTGAATTACAGTCATGCCCATAGAATGATGTTTTAGTCAAGAAGAGACCCATGAGGTTCACATGGAGCCAAAAAAGTCCTATCTCCTGGTGACGTCGTAGCCGTCATAACATCGTAGCGCAACACATTGCTCATGTGTTTGCAGCAATGCTGGTGTCGACAAAACCCCTGCACTGCTAGTTGTCTCAACATTTGTAAAAATTATAGAATAAAAAAACGAAAAACAGAAAAAGCTTTAAAGATATAAAGAAAGAATATTTTTGTATAGCTCTGTGTGTTTTAACCTGTTATTACAGAGTCAAAAAATTTAAAAATATTAAAAAGTTTATAAAGTAAAAATATCACAGTTAGTTAAGGTTAATTTATTATTATTTATTACTGAAGAAAGAAAATGTTTATCAATGTAGTGTGGCCTCAGCGCACAGTGTTCGCAAAGTCCACAGCGGTGCACGGTGACGTCCTGGCCTTCGTGCGCACTCGCCACTCGCTGACGCACCCAGAGCAATGGCCAGCCCTGCAAGCTCCATTCGTGGTAAGTGCCCAACACAGGTGCACCATTTTTATCTTTTATATATATTTTTTTTACTGTACCTTTTCTATGTTTAGATACGTTTAGAAACATAAATACTTACCACTGTGCTACAAGTACCTACAGTAATCGGCACAGTGACAGGCTGTGCAGGTGTGTGGCCCACCAGCAACAGGCTAGACCATACAGCCTGGGTAGCAGGCTAGCCCACCTGGGTCTGTGTAGGCACACTCTGATGTGCATACAATGACATACCCTAACAGCTATTTCTCAGAATACTTTCTATTTCTCACAACGTATCCCCGTCGTTAAGCGTTGCATGACTGTACACCTAGAATAAAATTTAAGTTCCTTGCCCTGCCTTCCTTTCTGGGGTAATCTCTCATCCTTCTCCCCCCATTGCGTGCCAGGCACACGGGCCTTGTTTCCTTTGAGACTCGGGCTCACCCCACCTAGGGGCCCGTGCACTAGCTGACATCACCTCTGGGTCCCCTTATCCTGCTGCCATCCCTTCTTGCAGACCAATTCCCAGCTTAAATCCTACTTCCTCAGGGAGGCTGAGGTGGTAGTTTGTCTGTAAAAATGGTTGCAATCATTCTCCTTGGATCCACACCCCTTTGCAATGGGACTTTGCAGCTCCTCCCATAAAGGGTGGAGTCTATTTTCCTGTCCCTTAAATCTGGGCTTGCCTTGTGACTTGCAGTGGTCAGTCGGTTGGAACAGGAATAGCACATGCATAGCCAAGCCTGGGCCTTAAGAGACCTCGCGGAGCTCCCCTCTTTTTCTTAGGGCCACATGAACAAGCCTGGGCTGCTGGTTGGAGGATCAAAGACCCAAGGCCCAATAGCTCCCGTCACCTCAGCTGGCAGCCAGCCACACTCTGGTGTGGCAGCTCTGGTCCTACTGGCTCCAACACACAAACGAGCCCACCAAGACCGGAGCTGCCCAGCCGAGCCTGGCTGAAGCTGCTGGCCCCACAATCACGTGTGTCATCAGTGGTGGTTGGTTTAATCGCCCCTGGGCTGGTTTGTTACTCAGTACTGTTGTGGGAGTTGACAACTGCTCCAGAACCCTTTTCTGGCCACCCAGTCTATGGCAGCTGACCTGTCACTCTCTAGACATGCCCTGTTTTATTTCTCCACCCAGCACATATGTGATGCTTTCCTTGTTAATGACTTGTTTCCTGGCTGGTTACCCACTTGGATGAAAACCACGTGAGAGCAAGGACTTGGTCTTGTGTTGGTCATCGCTATGTCCTCAGAGTCTAGTAACTAATAAGCCATCACTACCCTCTGCTGACCGACCTCCTGCATGAGTTCAGTGTGTCTGGGGACAGGCAGGGGTTGCATTTCTAATAACTACTCCAGGTGATACTAACACAGGTGGTGGGGATGGCCTCTGAGAAACAGTCACCCACAGCACCAGGGCTTCATTTCTCATGTCCCCCCCACCCATCCCAATCTCCCCACCCCACTCATCTCCATCTTGCAGGGGGAGGGTCCCATGGACGGGTGACACCCACTCTGCACCCCTCCACTGCAGCCTGCATTACAACTGCCTCTTGGGGAGAAGACAGTGGGGCCAGGCCCTTTCCCTGCTCTGAGAAAATAACAATTGCTGACACTTCCCCTGCTTGTTACGTGTGAGCATTGTTCTATAGCCTTTCCATAGGTTAATTCTCTGATGCTCACAACTCCCTGTGAGACAGGTACTGTGACTGTCCCCATCTCACAGATGAGAAAATGAAGGCACAGAGAGGTCACTGGCAAGCCAATGGGGAAAAGGCCAGATCCGAAATGCTGTCCCCTCCTCCAACCCTGGTTCTGCCCTCATCCCGCAGTAGCCTGCGTGTACCTGCTGTCCTCGCTGGTGACCAGGACACGCACAGCCAGCACATCCTGCCCCGCTGCGTCCTCCCCAGGGCTGATCCTCACTGAGGTCCACTCAGAGGGCGGGGGAGAGGTGGCTCCCACTTCCAACTTGCTGCTCTCCGGCTCAGGGACGCTCTTCGGCTTCTTGGGGGAGATGGGCTCGTCTGCTGGGAAGAGAACAGGTCTAGAGAGACCATGGGAAAGGATGGCCCTGGCAGGTCTCCTCCCAGGGCTCGGGCCCCCTCCGGGACACTCTAAGACTGACCTTCACATCCTCTGTGCCACTGCTGGAGCCGCGCCCCAGCCACCCGA